GCAGTCCCAGTTCCCAGCAGGGTCTGTGTGTATCTGCCCATCACCAGGCTCAGGCTGCACCTTTCCAACCACCTGCAGGGGAGTTTGGGAGCTCTGCTCACTTGGCAGGACCTGACCTGCACATGTTCCTGGCAGGACTGGGCTGAGCCCTAGAGGTGAGCTGGGGTGCTGGCCCAGAAGCCATGAGAAGCCTCACTGGGCACATTTGTGGTATGAAGTGAAAAAGAGCACTAGGAATTTATCCTTCATCTGGCTTCCTGACTCATCCCTGGGAGACTGAGATTTCCCTTTCAGCAGGGGCTGAACAGCTGGGAGACACACAGGTTGCCAGGTCCCTAGTCCCAGGTTCATCTCCTCCTCCCCAGAGGGGCTCAGGTAGCAGGTGGGAGTTTAAGGTGTTAGGAGATCTTAGGAGATCTCCTAAGAAGCTCATCAGGCATCCCACTGCCCACCATGGCCCAAACCAGGGCAGAAGACCACGCTGTAGGGAGTGAGTCTGCGTGAAGGCCAGCAGAGCTCAGGACACCCTGCCCAGCATGTGTCCTGTTCCGTGGCACAGGGAGCTGGTGGTCTGGGAGCAGACCAAGAGACCATGGGAGGTGAGAAGGTCTCTTTCCTGCCTGTTCCTTGTGGCATCTCCTCCCAGAGTCAAGGCTGGTGCCAGCTGTGTGCCAGCACATGGGCAGGAAGGGCTGGGGGCCGTAGGACTGACAAATGGGGCAGTGGTGGTGCCACCAGCAGTTCCACATCTAGGGGACGTGTGCCCACAGCTGTTCTGGGGGATGGACTGGGTAATCCCTCCTGCTTCCCAAAAAGCCATGGAAGGGCTGCTCCTGCAGCCAGGGATCCTTGTGTCCCAGCACTGGACAGGGTCACCACAGCCCACGGAGGCACACAGGCTGTGCCACCAGCAGGGCTCAAGGGTACATGTCCTGGTTCCAAACAGGATCCTTCATTCACTGATACACTTCCTGGGGCTTCTCCCTCCTTGATCACCTTTCCCAGGTGTTTTGCTATTGCCCAGATGTTGATGCTCCAGGAGCTTCTTTAGGATCGTGAATGTTTAGCCCTTAGTAGAGCCATGGATTTTTAAAATCAAAAGGTCATTTCTAGGTCACTGAATAATTACTATTGCTGTCCCCGCTGTCACTAATTCTATCACAGAGAAGCAGCAGCTTGCTGAAAAATCCTCAAGCTGCAGGCTGAAAATGAAGGGAAATTCACCACAGAAAACGCAAGATTAGGAGCACTTCGTGCACGGGCTATTGGAAGGAGAAGCAGGGCCAGGGCACATCAAAGCTGGGCACAGGGATTCCCTTCATCCCTGCTGCTCCCCACATGGGACTGAGCTCATCCTGCACACCCTGTTATTTCAGAGTGCTCAGCACAGTGAGGAGGTGCCTGCAGCCCCTTCGTGCTGTGCCTCCACCACAGCTCTGGGCTGGGGGGTTTTGGGGGCACACTCCTGTCTTGCAGCCTCTGGTCAAAGCACTGTGTTGGGCACAAAATCTGTGGGGACCTCAGTGTCTGCTGTGAGCCAGGGCAAACCCTCACAGGTCAGGGGGAACCACCAACTGGAGGGAAAGCTGTTGCTGTTCATGGAGTCATGGAATGGTTTGGGTTTGGAAGGGACCTTAAACTCATCTTGCTCCTCCTCCCTGCCATGGGCAGGGACATCTTCCTCCAGACCAGGCTGCTCCAGGCCCATCCAACCTGGCCTGGAACACTCCTAGGTATGGGGCAGCCACAACTGCTCTATTGCTGATAGAGTTTTGTGGATTTTTTTTTTTTTTTTTTTTTTTTTTTTTTTTTGAGGAGCAACAGGATCTTTCAGCTGCATTGGATTATCTTGGGATAGATTCCCTGATTGGCAAAGTGAGGGGGAGCATCACCAGCTGGTGAGGGCAAATCTGACTTCCCTCAGGGACCCTCTAAGAGCAGGAATTGCTCACTCTGGAGTGGAGCAGCTCCTCCTGTTCTTGTGGGAGATCAGCACTACACTGGGCCATTGACTGCCCTTGTGATGGCCAGGATGTCATGCCAGCTCTCAGCCAGTGCAGCATGCAGAGTGTGGCAAGGTGCTTTTCCATGACCATTCCTGGGAGATGCTCTGCAGGTTCAACCCAAGACCAAGATGAACGGCCTCAGCTGGGAATCCTTGTGGGCTGTGAGCTGTGCTGGATGTTACAGGCGTTGTTACTGTCTCACATGGCAGGGAGAGGCACTTTGGGCATCTCTTGCTTCCAGTTTTAGTACAGTTCAGTCCTTCTGGTCAGTCCTGGCAATGTTTGCTCTGGCTGTGATGGATGCAGGCTGGCTCAGGGAGACACTTCTGGGAGGCTCAGGGTGGCAATGTCTGTTGTAGGGTCAGTAGGGCTGAGCTGGGTTCTGCTGCTCAAAACCAGTCCTCTCCTCTTTCCCACTGTGTTTGTGGCTCTCCCAGGGCATCCTTGTCAGCTCAAGCTCTTCCAGGCATCCCTTGGCACCGAGCTTTGGAGACCGTTTCCCCAGCAGTCCCTGCCTGGGGACAGGCAGCTGGCCCCGTCTGTGTCCCAGCTTGCCCAGGGGGTGCAGAGCAATGGCTCCCCAAGAGTCATGCTGCCTTCCTCCTTGCCTGGCAGCAGAAATCACCCTCTGTCCTTGCCTTGGCTTTTGATTCCCAGTCCAACTTGAATATTGGGGATGTTATAAAATTCCCCACTTTCAGCATCTCTGTGTTTTAGACTTGGAGAAACAAATCCAGGACGAGATATTCAAGTATTCCTTTCACAGTTCCCATGCTCTGCTGGGTTGAAAGAGAAGCTCTTAGAAGATGGATCAAGTTCATGTTTATGCCTCTTGATTGCAAATATGCATTCCTGGAAATCCAGAGCAGTCTCTCTTCCCAACACCTGCATGGCAGGACTGGGAAGGATTGGGCAGCTACCAGTTGGCTTTTGAGTCACTTCTCCATGTCAGCAGAAGTGGTGGAAGCAGGAAAAATACCTTCTCTGTTTCCCTAGGTCAGGAATGCCACCCTGGGGCATTTCTTTTTATCTTGAATAACCTACTTCAGCCAATTCCCAGAAAAATCACAGGTTCTCTGCAATGCCAACTAAACCAGCATGGAAGGAATTGCATTGGTTGGGAGCCATCCTGTGAGGCAAGGCCAGCTCAGGATGCTCCATATCTGAGTCACTGGAGCATTGCCCTGTCCACTGAAAACAAATTTGAGCAATTACTAACCCCAAAACTTTGTGACCAGAGTTTTTGTCTGACATATCAGTTTAGTTTTTGCTTTAAGCATAAAAATGAGCAGTGGAGACATGAGAGGCAGCAGGATCAATGCTCAGGGTTGTTCCCGTGTGCTATAGAGAGAGTGTTGGGTTTGGAGTGGGAAATTAAGCTAAAGAGGAAGTGTTTTCTTCCAAAATAAGGGCCTTTCATGGCTTGGCAAGGTGTAGAGCAGCTGTTTCCTGCTTCTTCTCAAGCACTCACCATTGGCCAGTGGGTATCAGCTTGGAGAAGCATCTGGCCCAGGTAAGTTTCCTGATGTTACTCAGACAAATGGAGCCATTTCATCAGTGCTCTATTCCCTCCGAACCAGAAAGCAAATTTCTAGGAATATACTGCTCATAATAACCATGGGCTAGCTCACAAAGGAGATAGATCTGTGTGTAAATATGCTATGCAGAGGAGTAAGAGAGAGCAGAATAATTTCTGGTGGAAACAGTGTGGTCTGATGGGTGAGCTGCTGCAGTGAAAAGCCCAGGGAGAACTGGAGTGGTGCTGCAGGGCTCAGGGATGGATATCTCAAACCTTTCCAAAGCAGCAAGGGAAAGAGGGGAGAGGGAAGGGGCAGGGGAAGGCTGGGGGACACACTGTCCGTGTACACGGAGCAGGGTCTGGGCTCGCCCCTCCCCAGCCAGCAGAGCGAGTGTGGGGTGGGCCGGGAATCCTGCCCTGAACATGAAGCGTGAAATCCATGTCCAACAAGAATTTCAGCTAGTGCATAATGTAAGCGCTGGATGGGTTTGTAGCCAGGGCTCTGGCGCTGAGAGCGCTGAATTAAACATGGGGTGACTCAGCGCTCGTCCGCGCCAGGCTGGGAGCGGGAGTGCGGGGACAGGTGCATTATTGATAGCTTCATTTCCCAGGTTTGAGCGCCCGGGAGAAAGCAGCGTCTGCAGCGCTTGGAGGGGGACACGGTGTGGCCACACTCGGCATTTGCAACGCCTGCCTGCTCTTGTGCTGCTCCTGGCACAGGGATTGCTGCATCCAGCCTCTCCCTGCTGCCTCTCTCCACCTGCAGCCCCTGCACCCCGGGCGGGAGCCCCAGGGCAGGGCAGCACCGGCCCCATCCTCCAGCCCGGGGCTCCAGCGAGCTTGGGGGGCTGCACAGCCGGCTCCCCCGCGGCAGAGAGCAGCCCTTGGGGCTTGGAAGGGGTGAGAGCTCCTGAATTTGGCTTTGCTGATGATCCAAAGCCTTCATCTGCTTCTGGTGACTGCCCACGGACCCAGGGCCCCTGAGCAGGGGACGGGGCTGGGAGCACAGGGTGTTCCAGCAGCCTTGGAACGGCAGGAAGCAGGACCAAGCCTTGCTGGAACTGAGTGTGATAACTCATTACCTCACAGGAGGATGTTCTCCTTCTATCCCAAAGCTTTATGCTGTAAAACTCCCATTCTGTATCTCCAGGCCCCAGTCCGGCGAGCAGCAGCGAGTGCTGCAGGGCTTTGGGCTCAGAGCATCCTGCTGGTTGGGATGTGAAGGGAAAGCCTCATGGAAGAGGTTGGAAAACGTGAGCTAGCACTCCTGTCAGGCCTTGCAGGGAGAGGCGTGGTTTGCCTCTTCCTCAGAACCTAATTTGAACCACAAGGATGCAGTAAAAAAAAAAAAAAAAAAAAAAAAAAAAATAAAAAAAAAATCCTGCTTTGGAAGATTTTAAAGAACAGCACGAACTAAAAAGGCAGCTGCCAAACCGAATTTCCATTATTAAAAATCAGCACTGATAAGAGCCATCTTAGATCAAATAATTTATTTAGTAATTCCATGTAAACACTTCAGATTTACTAGCAAATACAATGCTTGCTGTTCTTTTAAATAGATCATTCAAAAAATAAGAATCTATTATTAATGGCAGGTTGACTAGAGATCTCCATACTACTGTACAATAAGGAATTGGTTTTCTAATGGATTTAACATCTCAATTTTTCTTGTTCTGCATTTGCTTTACACAAAGCCCAAAGGACACAGGTTTGAACTGCTCCCTGACGATGCCACTGCGGCCCGGGGTGTTTTGGGAAGGTACGCAGGCAACTCCTCCCATCCTGGCATTGGTGTGAGCTGATGTGAGGGTGGGATGGCAGAGCTGGCGTGAACACTGTTCACAAACACATGCCTTTTCGGTCAGAAAACAGGGAACGGTGGAGAACTTCTCTTTGGGATGTATAAAAGCAACGAACTCCATCGTTGGCATTTACTTATCAACACAGCAGTACACATACACGTATCCACAGTCTGGAAAAGCATCCTATGAGCTGGAGAAAGCAGTGGTTCTGAGGCTTGGTACACCAGTGCACTAAAACCAAAAGAATGATACCTTCTTACATAGTCAAATGAAAAATAAATATCTTTATTTTCTGCCTACTTTATTTCAGTTTTCAAATAAATTTTAAATAAATCTGTACAAAGTATACTGTTACAGTATATATTTGTAAGTGAACTGAAATGCCTAAGTGTAACAACACTACAAGAAAGCAGTAAAGATTGGCACATCTCTAATCAAGATTAACTTTTACACTCAAAAAATACCAACGCCTGTGAAAACCCTCAAGATATTTTTGGTATTTTTATGCAAGTTGTAATGACAGACCAATTCTCCCCTGCCTTGAAAAGAAAATCACTTCTCATGGTTTTCAGAGAACATGAACATCTTTATGATGCTAAAGGGACACCATCAGGTGAAAAGAGAGAGAGAGATTTCAATTTTTAAAAAGCAAACGCTTTGGTCAAAAATCATCAGGTTTGAGACCTTGTGCACTTTTTCCGTCTCCCGAGCTGCGGCGGGGCCGGGCCGGGGCAGCGGCGCTGCCGGACCCTGGAGCCCCGGAGCGCCGCCCCTGCCCGGCCGCGGGGACGGAGCGCTCTGGCCAGGGACAAAAACATCGGCAGAGGAGCTGCTCCCCTTGCCATCCAAACGGAATTCACACGAATGCCACAGGGCTGCATTTTGTGGTTTCTTTCCCCCACCCCGCCCCGCAAAAGCCAGAAACTAAAATTGATCTGACAGTGTCCCTTTGCTCAAAATAAAGACTTCTGTGCTAGAGAGGTCAGGTACTGAAACGAACTTTTTCACAGGGTCAAAGAGCCAGGTACATCTCAAAATTCAAGTTTTCAAATCCAACTGCAGTTATTAGATTAATGAGCTCTCAAAACCTCCTAATATTTCGTTAAATAATTCCCAACTGGGAACTGGGGATAAATACTACAGATTAAGAGTGAGAGTTTTCTCTCTTAATCTTTCCAAAGATATATTCACTCAAAGTTTACATGCTGAAAGTTAATCTTACATTAGAATGTAATTGGCTGCAACATAAACCTATAAATGAATCAACTACCATAGATTAAACTCTGTTAAATATTTCTAAGTTAATAAAATATTGACAGTATTATAAAATTACAGTATTTACAATAAGAAAAATCTAGACTAATATATACCTTTAACAGATCTCTTCTCCAATTTGGGATTGCAACGGAATTATGAATATATGAACAATTTATTAGAAAGTTGCATTGCAATTATCAGGTTTTCCATTAGCGCTAGAGAGGGTGAGCTATCACTGCCTTTGGAAAAAAACAAAAAGTGACTTCTGGTGGTGGGGTGTAGCTTTTGAGTACCAAACTGGTAACAGGAGTCCTCCGCAAGACGTCTGAAGATAAGGTAGGACCAGCCTCAACTGCTCAGATTAAGGTTGTATTACAGAACTGCCAGCAATCAGAACCACCCAGGCTGCAAAAGGGGAGGAAAGGTAGTTTTCAGCTCAAAGTGCACAGCTGGAAGGGCTCCCCTCACTCTGGACTCCAACTAAGGCTGCAGGAGCTCTGATCAGGAACAGCAAAACCCTCAGCTCGGGGTCCTGAGGAGGAAACGAGCCACGGTGCTCCTTAAAGGGACATGGTTGGGCTGCAGCTATGCCAAAACACTCTTGTCAACCATGTAGGACAAAACCAGACCGGGCATTTGAGATCCTTTTGGACTTGCTTTTTTAGGAGGTTTTTTTTGGGGGAGGATCAGGGAATGGCTTTAGTTTGTTTTTGGTTGTTTTTTTTTTTTTTTTTTTTTTTTTTTTTTTTTTTTTTTTTCTTGGGGGAAATTTTTGTGTTTTTTTTTTTTTTTTTTTTTTTTTTTTTTTTTTTTTTTTTTTTTTTGCATTTTTTTTTGCTTGGGAGAAAAAATTTGGCCAGGACTGTGCAGTAAACTCATTTTCTATCCCTCATCAGGTTCTCTGTTTCTTGGGTATTACCAAAATGTGCAGTGTTTGGGTGGCAAATACTTGTGGGGAAAAGGAGGCTTCAGCATTCCCACTTCAATTTGTCTTGGGATAAACCGAAAGCAATTTGAGTCCTTAAAAATTGCCAGCTGCTTTTGGGGTCTCAGACACCCAGTGATGTCCTTTTAAGGATCAGATCTTTCACTTGCCCTTTTTCCCAGCCTCGGAGGAGGAGTTTACAACGAGTTTAGGAAGGGCCATGTTCACATTCTTTCCCTCTTCCCCATGTCACATTTGCTTTCTAGGAAAAAAGGGGGAGAAAAGTAAGTTTCAAACTCCTTTCCCACCCTTCCCTCCCCCGGTCCTGCTCACAGTAAACCAGAAACGGCAGTTTTTAGTGTATATTTTGGGATAAATTATTTTCTCAGTCCCAAGCCTGAAGATGCTAGTGAGAGACCTACCCGCAGGCTTTGGAGAGGAGGAGCAATTTAGGGGTTTCTACCAGTTCCCGTGGTGGGCAGGTGGGAAGACCTCTGTCCTTAAAAGCAGGATTTAAAATGGTAAAAGAATAATTTGTAAACTCAGGTCTACATTACCAATAGAAGGCTCTAGGTCCTGTGGGCTCCAGTTCCCAGAGATGCAGAGCAGGAAAACTAGAAAGAGAACTTGGTACCTTTCAACCACCTGCTGGGTTGTACTGGGGGGGAGTGGGGAATGAGAGAGACAAAATGCCAACTGACCTTATAAACAAAGGTATGTTTAGGGCTTCTGGTTTCAGGAATAAACCGATATTTACTGGTAAAAGTCTGCCAAAAAACAAAAACAGAAACACAGGATTACTGGTAAATATTGGTTTATATGGAGAATTAAAAAAAAAAAGAAAAAGAAAAAAAAAAGAGATGTCATTGTGCTCCCAGGTGGGAGCTGAGAACCGACCCATGGCATCCCTGCACCCGGCAGTGTCTCTGGCACCTGGACACCTCAAACCAGAAGCCTTGTGTTGAGAGGAAAGTCGTGTTTGTTTCCTTTACTCCCCTTAAACGACGTGTTTCTGGATTCCCCCCTCCCTCCTCTGCAAGGCTGGTCCTACGGGGATTTGGCTCAGGAGATGGGAAGTCTGCTTCCAAAAGCACTTGGAAGTGAATTTGTACATAATATGGTATCTCAGCACAAGGCTGCTGGGGCCTGAGCCTCGGCTGCTCCCTGAGATACCATAAAATATACAAGACTGAGTGTATATTTTAAATAAAGCATTTTCTTGTAAGTGGCATAAACCCATTCATTTTATTTACATGCTTATTTATTTCCAAAAATAGAGTTGGTCCACATTGGACAAGAGAAATCAAGAAGCCATACAGTAGAAGAGTTAAAAGTCCAACATTTAACCAAAGTACAATGAAATTCCAGAAGGCTGTGGCTGACTTGAACCACAGAAACATACACATGAGCCACACAGACATTTGTACATAGAGCATTATATTACCAATAATATTTGCAAACATGAGGTCAAGATGGCTAAAAACCCAGCAGGACTGACCCGGGCTTCCTGGCTGAACAGAAGTGGGTGCTGAGGGGTCATCACTGCTGTGGGGAAAGACAACTCTACAGAGATTTTGCTTCACTTTTGGTTTTTTCTTTAACTGAGAAAGTCCTAATTTTTCTGCCCTGGGGATCCAAATTGAGGACAGGGTGAAAGCCAACCCCATGGAGCTCCCTAAATGCCAGGGTGCCGGGGGCTCAGACCTGCGGGACAGTGCGGGTGCCACACGGCACCGGAACCCCACTGGAGGGCAAAACACTGCCCTCTGCTACTTGGCCTTAAAGATCACCTGGAAAAGAAAAAGTTGGGATTTATACCCTTGTGGTGTGCTAAAAAAAGTCTGGATGAGGTTTGCCTTGAAAACAAGGATTTCCCTCCCTTGCCATGGGCAATTTTTGGCATTAGTTATTCCAGTCCTTTCTACCTTTCTTGGAAGATCACAAATATCCTAGAGGATGTTGCACTGACAGGTGAGGGAATAACTTTTTTACATTTAATAAAACCAAACAAAAACTTGGAGGATGGACAGCAGAAGAAAAAAAAACCAAACAACCAACCAAATGGAAAAGATGCCTTATCTCTGTGTGAGGGCCCAGCTGTCTGGGTATCTCCATGGACCTCACCTTGATAATATCTCAGTGTCTCCAAAGGATGGAAAAACAGACTTAAATCTGTATGTTCTGCTGCAGAGAATCAGCAAGTAAAAGGGGGAAGACAATTGTAGCACTTCTGGTACTTCTACAAACCACCCACTACATGGAGTAGAACCACACGAAAAGGGTATAAACTAATTTTTCTTTTTCAAGTCATCTTAGACACTGACGCTATTAAGCCTAGTTCAATGTGAATGCTAGTACAGAGCTAATGTACAGAATGCCAGCGATAATTATTGGTACCTAACAGGATTTAAAGGCGAGTATACTCAGTACATTTATTAAAAAACACTAGGACCAGAACCAGAGCTCTGACAGCAGTTACACAAAGCAGCCGTGCAGGTCTCTACGAGGACAGAGCCTTTAGCACAAGTCGCTATGATCATCTGAGCCTGGGACAGACAACTCCATCTCCTAATTTGTTTCCTAGAACATCTCTAATCGCAGATGTGAAATATGAAAACAGAGATGGGCCTGATCCTGTGCAGTTGGGTACGTACAACACACCCCAGTGAAACTCAATGCCCAAATTCCTAAAGAGAGAGCACAAGAAATTGTTGTCTTACATCAAATAACTATCATGCAAGCATACCACGATGGTTTTATATTGAGTAACTTCAAAGTCAGCTGGTATAATTTAACTAGAAGTGAGCAATCTAATGGATTTCTTGGGGTAGGGACAAAGGTTGTGCTAGTGACAACCACCTGATTACCAGGAAGAGCAGCACAGGGACACTGTGGGGGTCTAACGAGCTGTGGTACAGAGGAGCTCCTGCTCAGCAGCCTCACAGACCTGCACCTACACCTGGAATGTGCAGGATTCCTGTGGCAGGCTACACGCCTTCCCTTCATTTGCTCTGCTACCACAATCAGAGTTCTTTCTCCTGAATGAACAATTCACTTGCAGCCTGGCATACTGACGGAGCATTAAAAATTACTCTTTTTTCCCCCCCTGTTGCCTGTTGCCTCACATGTCCCAAGGTCAGCCCCATGCTCACTGCACCAAACCTTATGCTCTTCTCAATTTTCCAGCCACAGCCAGGCTGGGGTCACTTCTAGAGTACAGCCCAACCACTCTCCTCCTCCTGGTCTTTAAACATAAACTCTGACTGAAACCTCACGGTACCTGCAGTTATCCTGTTTCTATTGCAAACTCCAAGGACTTAACAAAGCACTTATTCTTTGGTACCATCATCTACTGGAGACAGGGAAGGTGGGGGAAGCCAGGGTATTTGCCATAACTCCTGGACTTTTAAGAAGCCTAAAACTAAGCCAGAGCAGCAAAAGGGTGCTCTGGCTGACACCAGTTACCTGTGGGTTCTCCTGGGTCTCTTGGAAAGAGAGGTAACACAAGTCTGCATGTGCACACATCAACAATGCCCCCTCAAGGACAGACCTAGGCAAGAGCTGGAAGATGCTGCCCAGACCTCTGTTCCTACTCCTTCCCTTTCAGCCCATTATAAAAGTCAAGACCTCTGAGTTTTTCCTTAGTAAGAAGAAAACAAAACATAGCCACAATATCAGCTGCTGAGGCACACTCTGGGATCTGGCAGACCTGCAAGCCCAGCTCAAGGCAGGAGTTTGAACTGGGGGTGTTGCTTTACAGGAGAAATCTAGATTTTTCTAGATTGCCCAGTATTCTGGTCTTGTTTCTCCCCTCAGACCTGGACCTAGTAGTATCCACCACAAAAGTTTCATGAAAATCAACCTTTCTTCACCCAGCAACTTTGGGTTTAGTGAAACCATTGAATGGAACTCATTTGCTCAAAGGCTGAAGATGCAGACTTGGAAGCCTTTAATCACCTTCTCTAACTAGACTTTAGTCTACCTTTTGCTTCCCAAGTGACAAATAGCAACTGCAACCAAAGAAGGACTCTGCAGTATTTCTCTTCTCATTACAAGCCTATTTTTTATCCTGTTGTTTGACAATGTGTTCAGACATTCTCGTAGGTGCCCCAGCAAACCAGACTGATCATAGAATCAAACAATGGATTGGGTTGGAAGCGATCACCTGGTCCAACCCCTTTTCTCTGCAGAAAGTATGTTGCTTTCTAACTCTCACACACGGAAGAGCTGCAGTACTTCAGCTTCACCTTCTCAAAATGGAGTTCAGGATTTTTGCTGATCTGCAATTCCTAGTGCCCTGATCCCAACCACTCTCAAAAAAAAAAAAAAAGAATAACCTGACATTAGGACATTATCTAGTCATCATTATCTAGTCATGGAGAATACTAAGCTGTTTTTTGACAGCCCTGTTTTTGTTAGTACCTTTAAGTGTTTCAGTCCCAAGCTTTTTTAAAACCCCTTGATACACCTGTTGCTCCTCCACTTGAATTTCCTACTTTGTTCCATCATCTCTGCTTCACTTGAGTTTTAGAGGAAGGCTCCTTTTTCCACCCAAAAGGACAGCAGTCTCTCAAACGTGCCCTGTGCTCCAGAATGACATGGAGGAGTCACTTCAGTGGCATGAAGTAGTGCAGGAAATGAATTCTGCCTTCAGTCCTGCACAGCCAGATTTTCTCCCCAGCCGCGTCTCTGATGTCCCTCAGACAGCACTGGCTCCCCAAAGCCCCCAGCTCTGCAAAGCCCCTCCTAAACTGCTTCATTTCCCAACCATGGTTACCTGCCCTTCCATATGGCTCTTCCAGTCTACTCCTCAGAGCTGGACTTCTGTCCTTGGGTGGAATCTTCCTGAACTCCAGAAGTCCCCTCCTTTATAACTATTTTTAACAACAGTTTTAGGGTTGCTCGTTCTTTCATGACAGAGTTCTGCCTCACCTGGATGCCAGTAACCTTCCCAGGTATCTATGGTAAGTCTAAGACTTCATTTTTCTGATCTTCTCCCATGCAATATTTTGGAACAAAAGACTCACTTTTAGTCCAGCACCTTCTACCCCTGAGAATGCTGAACCTGCAATTCAGCGACCCCCATGTGGTCACTGCTACTTAACAACTCGACAGTAATTGTATTTGAATCACGTCTTATGCTTTAGTCCTAAACAAAAGCTAGGTCTACATCAGGCTGTTACAAGAAATGATCCTTTAAGTAAATCAATATGTTTGCTCATCAAAATGTTAGCCAGTTCTCTCCCAAACAATCTAGCCAGGTAGCATGGTCGTAATAGAACTCACTTTTTCTAACAGGTTTATGAAGATGCATGAGCCTGTTTTTTTCCCAGGGCTCATGAAATCCTCAACTTTCCTTTTGTCTGGAATAGAAAACTTCCTAATACCTCTATGCCATTAAAATACAGAATTTATATCCAACATAAATGTGGCTGTTCGGTTGTCAGTACTCCAATTTCCTCAGATTTTACAGCAACCTTTTAGATGTAGTGTTCCTCCTTTATGACCTAACACACCTGCTACAATGGCAGGTAATGCAGTATCTTATTGATTTCCATCACCCCCACCATGTTTCAATCAGAGCAGCTGTGACGAGGTCTTTTTTCACCACTGAGCAGTCTACAACAACTATTTTTGTCTCCTGTTTCCACCCTACTGTGCAGATGTGTCCATTCCTTACTCCTGCCCAGTCCCTCCCGTGCACACAACTCTGCTCCCAACCTCCAGCCCCAACAGCCTCAGCCTCCCACCAGCCTCTGTCCTCCCC